AAAAAAAAAAAAAAAGACCCAAAAATAGCAAAACAAACAAATAAAACATACATTTGGGCAGACCTGAAGTAGATAAGAAAGAAAATAAAATTTGTTTGGTATATCTTTATCCTGATGACAGCAATATGAGCAAGAGAAACAGGACTGGATCTAGAAGGAAAAGTAAGGAAGGATGACTCATATTAGATATTGTATTAGTTTTCTACAGTTGCCATAGCAAAATGCAGGCTTATAAAAAGAGATATTTGGTGTAATAAAGTTCTAGTGGTTGGGAGTCCAAAATCAGGGTTTCAGACATGTTGATTAATCCCAAGAATTTGAGGAAGAATCTGATCCATGTCCCTCTTTTAGTATCTGGTAGTTATAACACAAGGTATTCTTCCTCTGTCTCTGTAAATTTTCTCCTATTTTATAAAAATATGTAGTCATATAGGATTAGGATCCACCGTACTTCAATAGGTCCTCTTGTTTTACTCATACTCATATCATAACAACTGATACACAGATTCAGGAGCAAAGATTGGTAAGTAATTAAGGAGTAAACTGACTATATCATTGTTGTTAAGTACCATTCAGTCAGTTCTAACTCATAGTGACCCTGTACAGGGTTTCTGAGGAACGACTGGTGAGCTTCAAACACCAAACTTTCAGTTCAAACAGAGCTTACTGTCCAGTATGTTAACATGCAGTGCCATACCAAGACTCGAAGCTATGTTGTTGTTGTTGTTCTAGTCGGTTCCGACTCACAGCGACCCTATATAGGGTTTCTGAGAAATGGTTTGTGAGCTTGAACTGCAGACACTGTAGTTCAAATCAACCTTACAGTCCAGTGCATTAACCCACAGTGCCACACCACAACCCCTGATGCTGACTATGTTGTTGCTGTTATTAAGTGCCATTGAGTCAGTTCTGACCCATAGTGACCCTTGTACACTACATTTCTTTCCCAAATTAGCATACTGATTGTAAACTTTACTAAAGCTATATAGAAGAAATGTACTTGAGACACTTAGATAGTATACTACAATGGACAAATGTTTCCTAGAACTAAAAGATCGACAGTATGAAAGTGAATTGAGCATGTTATGTGTAGTAAAAACAAAACAAGAAATTCACTGCTATCCAGTCAATTCTGACTCATAGCAACCTGGTATACAATTTCTGAGACTGTGCATCTTTACGAGCGTGGAAAGCCTCATCTTCTTCCTATGGAACAGCTGGGGGTTTTGAATTGCCACCTTTGAGTGTTTACCCTACAGCACCACATCAGCCAGTAAAAAAATTAAAAAGTTATTTTTAAGGTTTAAAATTTTAAAAAATATAGGAAAATAAGGAGTTAATGTATAAAATACTCTTTAAATCACTTGTTGTTGTAATTGTTGTAAGTGCTGTTGAGTCAGTTCCAACTCACAGTGACCCTGCATAGGGTTTTTGAGTAGCAGCTAGTGGGTTTGAACCATCAAACATGAGGTTCAAACTGACCTTGAGGTCCAGCACATGATCCTTCAGTGCCATACCACGTCACTGTATGTAAATAAAAGTAATCAAAGAGAGAAGAATTTTAGAACATTAAAACTGTAATAAAGAAGGTGAATAGTCACTCAGTATGGTAGAGGTTAAGTGCCACCATGGAGTCGATTCTGACCCATAGCAGCCCTGTATGAACTTTCTGAGGAGTGGCTGGTGTGTTCAAACTGCTGACTGTGCAGTTCGAACCGACCTTGTGGTCCAGTGCTTATTCCACGGTGCCACGCCAGAGTATTAATTTTAAGTTAAAATGTGAGACCTTCTAGCTTAAAGATTCATCAAGAAAAGTCCCACATGGGATAATATGAATCTGTATCTAAATATTTTAAATCTTATAGGGAGCAAAATTGTACTAAATTAAAGTAACCTGATATACAGGGAAATTATCCCTTTATTAAAGCCTAAGCAAAAATGCAAATAAATTTAAGGTTGTTCTTTTTTTAATCAAATAACTTAATTAAAACTAGAACGTTGAGTCTTATTTTTAAATGATCATATTGTTTTCAAACATTATCTTTTTCAATATTCCATATTTGAAGATTCATATTTGGTATAAAAAATAGATATACTATCAGTTAACTGTAAATTAGTTCTGTTACAAAGGAAGATTCTAGAGTTGAAGTATAATAATAATACGATTATGCTTTGTTATAGAGTCCTGGTGTGGTGCTATAGGAGAAGCACTTGACCACAAGGTCAGTTTGAACTGCAAGGTCAGCAGTTCAAACTCACCAGTCACTCCTCAACCCTATACATGGTAGCTATGAGTCAGAACTGATCCAATGCCACTTACCAACAGCAACATTCTTTGTTAGAATTGCAAACATTCAGCATGTGACTCTTTTCATTCATATAGGTTTTAAGTATATTAACATGATGCTTCATAAGAAATGTAGGTTTGATTTCCTTTATAAAAAATTCTTCTTTATGGGGAAAGAATTGCATGGAGGGGATTGTAACCATGGCAATGAGAGGATATCTGATAGAATAAATGTAAAACTAATGTTCTCCCATGTAAACTATCACATAATTCACAATAAAACATTTAAGAAAAAATATCATTCTTTATATAACAATAAGACCTGGACATATATTTGGAATGAGATAATTAAATTCAACAATGTGTAACATCTAGGTGTCTGATGATGTAAACACTGACTGCATTAAGCCTACATGTCTTTCAGGTAGAAATATCTTGATGCAGGGTAGGAGAAGGTGAGAGGAGGAAGAAGTCATACCTGGAAAGCTTCCCAGAAACTTCACTGTAAAAGTAAAAGATCAATCTTCCACAGACACTTAATGAAGACATGGTTTGTTCTTTGTTTTTTATTTTTTTTAGCTGTTCTTCTAGAGATGATGTTGCCCACCAAGAAAAGAAAACAACCCAAAACAAAACTAGTGGATTTTTGCAATTCAAACCTGCACTTAAAGCAGGATAGAGGAAATAGTGAAAATCTTTATTGCTGATTAAATTACTTACAGTGGTTTTCCTTTGGATTCACAAGTCAAAATTAAAGGCTGTCCTTCTTGTGGAAAAGGAGTGGATGGTATAATCTTAACTGATGGTGTATCTAGGGAGAAAAATAAAAAGGAACTTTAACAAAGGTCATTAAACACATATAAAAATATATATTTAATAATTTATGCTATGTTGTCCATTAAGGCTAATTTTTATAACCAAGTATAATTATAAGGGATTTGTCAAGCTTGCTGAAATATACTATATAATTTTAAGAAGTTAGCCTCCTGTTCATACAAAGCTAACAAAATATCTGAATAACTTATGAGTACCACCATTGTATTATTGCTGAAATCTGAATTTAAAAGTAAAATTGCAAAATGTGGTTTGGATGAATATCAAGCATTTCACACAATTGTTTCTTCAACTATTTATAGATGGCTATGAATACTATTATTATAGACTGAATGCATTTATGTGCATTTGAATAATAAACTTTCGTTATTGCAGGAATACCTGAAACTCACAATAAGAAGCTCACAATGAACTCAACATCAAGTACAAGCATTATGCAGAATCTTTTTTTAGAAATGCAGTCATGTATCACATAGCACATGCCACTTGCTCTAAAATACTGTTAGCAAGTCACTTGAAATACCTGTTTAGAATCTGGCTAAAAGTGAACATTTTGTTGTATATTCTACATCATGATAAAAGTATTTATTTACACCTAACAATAAAATATTTTCTAGTATAAAAGTATTCAGGAATAGTTTAAGACATTAATTTTTAGACTTTTATATTCTTGAGAAAACATAAAGATACACTTCATAGAAGAAACGAAAAATTAGATAAAATAAAGCAACAAAATATTGTATTGTTATTAGTTGCCATGGAGTCGATTTAATGATGACTCCAGGTGTGCAGAGTAGAACTGCTTCATAGGGTATTTAAAGAAAGTGATCACAAGTCCAGTCTTTCAAGGTGCTTCTTTCAAACATCCAACCTTTCAGCTAGTAGTTGAATATTTAACCATTTGCGCCACCTGGGGATTCCCTGCAATAATGTAAACATGCCCATTTCTTTATATGACTACTAATCTTGACATTCTATGTCACACACTCAACATGGTACTGTATTTTTTTCTTATTTCCATATTAATTGACCACTTGCTGTTGTGTTAATTCCAATTCATGATGATCCCAGTTCTGTAGTAAGAATAGAAATGTAAAGCATAGCATTTTCAAAATAACTCAGAAAAAAAAATGGAATTAATATCACATATTCACCAGGTTTTTTAACTAATAGAAGAAAATATATTGAATAAATGATTTCAGCATACTTTACTGACTTTTATATTATAATAACAACAGTCATGGAATCAGTGATAGCTGAGATAATCAGATAATCTCCAATGTGGGACACTTGAACATGGAAAGGACAATGTTAATGATTATGCAGGTTAACAGATGTGAATGAGAACATTTCAGAGCCAACTGAAACCTGTGGTCTTTGTAACTTTGTTCAAATGATCATATAAGAAAACTTATTTTTTGCTTGACATATTAGAAAAAAATGATCATTAACAAGAATAAAAGATAGAAAAGGAGTATCAGAAGAGGCTAATTTTAGAAAAGCATATTTTAAGTTCTATGTGGTCCATCCTCTAATACTATCTTTCATGCTTTAGATTTTAGGCAATTGAATTTTCTATTAGGTCCGTGAATGACATATGTTCCATATTTCCTTTATATATGTTCTTTCTGAAATTCTCTGCTTTTATGACCTTTTGCTTATTTAATACCTACATATCTTTTAATGTTAAAAAATGCTATTTTATGTGAGCAATCAACCATAACTCTAAAAGCTGGTCAGATACTTATAATGTTTGTTCTCTTTTCATCCTTGTGCAAATTTTTAAGAAATCACTGCCGTATCCTCAGAATTTTGTGTAAATTTTAATACAAAGTATGTGTTGAAGAAATACCTATTAAGTAAATGAAAACATAAACTTTTTCATAGATCTTCTTCTCAGCAATTTAGATCTCCATTATCAGAAATATTTAAATAATGGTTACTTGAAATATTGTTGGTACTCTCTGCAAAGAGAATTAATTTTAAATATTCATGTCACAAAACATAGACTTTTAGTCTTAGCTCACATCTCATTTAATTAAATATCTATTGTTGAATCTCTTCCTGGTACATATTTTCTTCATTAGATAACAGCTTTTCATGATTATCAAAATGATAATTTTTTCTTGATGTAAGCATCACATCTGTAAACTACTTTTTCTTGTCATCTAATTTAAACAGGGTGAGCACTCAGTTGTGAATACACTTAAAGACTAAGCCAAATTCTGTGATGTTTCCATGAAATGTCAGTATTCCTCTGCAAGTATAGTATGGTAGCAGATACACATAAAAATAAATTATTAGAATTTGCATTTTTATTTTGGGAGAGAAATAAGTATTCTTCTAAATTTGAACATTTTCTCTCTCTCCTCTCTCTTTTTTTTTTTTTTAAGAAAAGGAAGTTATTTATCTGACAGTAATTTATCCTATGAAAGATCTGTCTCACTGCTATTTATGTGTTATTTTTTCAAACAATTGTTTATTGTGTCCATAGGGAGTTGGTCAAGCAATAGTAGGGTAAAAGTATTTTGGTCAAATATCCGTGACATTCCATAAATAATATATTTTAATTAGTTTAGTACTCTCACTTTTTTGGTAATCTCAGCCAACAAAAAGGCAAAAAGTAAAAACACAATATTGCAGTAATCTAGAAAACTGACTTAATGTTGAAAAGATCCAATTTCCAAGATTTCATCAAAATATTAATTTCAATAAATAAAATCCTTTTATAAATGCAATTATCTGCTTTATGAACAATGCTTCCTATCTAGATGAATGCAGGACTTTTCAACAATATCATAATCAATTAAAAAATCTAAATCCCCTGTCATTAAATCAGTTCTGACTGAGTGGTCCTGTAAGACAACACAGAACTGCTCTTTACGTTTTCTGAGACGCTCAATATTGATGGGAGCAGGGAGCCAGCCTCACTTTTACCTGTGGGGTGGCTGATGTTCCAATTACTAGCCTTGCAACTAGCAGTCCAATGTTTACTGCAGTATGACATCAATTTTCCCATTCCATTGAGATATATTTGAAATTAAAAGTACAACTCAGAACTCAATTAACAAATATAGTACAGAAATAAAACCTTTTACAATTTTTAATGCACTGAAAACTTTGGATGACATAATAATTTCTTAATAGTATTTATAGATGGGATAATAAAAACATGGAAAGCATAATATATGCATGCATTTAAGAATATTTTATAACATCACAATTATATTATGTACATAATATAATGGAATCCTAATGTAGCACTGTAGACTAAGCACTGGATCGCTAACCACAAACTTATCAATCGCTCTTCAGAAATCCTGTACAGGGTTGATATGAGTCAGAATCGACTCATCAGTACTTAACAATAACAAAAGCATATAATACGATAATGATTTTATTTTTAAAATTTGTTCCTACTCAATTGTAGTTAACAACAATAAGATATAGTACAAAAATGATGTGATTAAAAATATGGATATGACTCAACATTACCTAACAACAAAAAGAACATGATATAAGGAAAATGTTGCAATGCAATAATGTATCTATTAATAGTATAGAACAATAAGGATAATTGTATGAAATAGCATATTTATTAATAGCATAATATCAAGCAATTGAAGAAATGCTTTTCCTTAAAATCCATCTGAAACTATAAAATAGTTTTTCCTTAAGTATTCATTCTTTAACTTGTGTTTCACATATTCTGGAGCTAATTTAGAGATAAACATAGTTTATCTGGATATAGAATAATAGATAAAATCATTTTTAAACAAAACTTTCAAAGCTTTATCATCTTGAGACATAAGGACACCTCATGTTCTATATGAATGATTCAGGACTTGAATCAAAGTAAAAATATTGATCAAGTGGAATGGATTTCCTATATCCTTAATAACAATTTCAGTGAAGAAAAAAAGATCTATGGTGTAGCTTGGATTTAACTACCTAATGGACAATCTTGAAAGCACAAGCTCTTAAAGCATTTAGTGTTAGTGGGTCAGCAGCATTATGCAGCACTAAGGGTTTTATAAGTGAATTAAAAGAAGTTTTAAATCAAATGCTTTATCAATAAAACTTTACCTTCCATAATCAAAGAAAAACACCCCTGAAATTTAATGTTATATATAAGTAGCAGTTAACCTGCTATAAATGATAGTCAACCTTCTGAATAAGAAAATTAACCATACAGGAATGTATAATACTTTATATTGTAAAAATAGCATATTATCTTATATATTGTATGAAAAAAGGATTTATAATGTAAAGCAGTTGCTGTTGTTGTTGTTGTTGTTGTTGTTGTTGTTGTTAGGTGCCATCGAGTGGTACCAACCCATAGCGACCTTGTACACAGCAGAATGAAACACTGCCCAATCCTGGGCCAACCTCACTACTCTTGCTACGCTTGAGTCCATCAATGCTGCCACTTGGCCAATCCATCTCCCTGGGGGTCTTCCTCTTTTTCTCTGACCCTCCACCTTACCAAACATGATATCCTTCTCCAGTGACTGGTCCCTCCTGACAATATGTCCAAAGTCTGAGAGACGCAGTTTGGCCATCTTGGCCTCTAAGGAGCACTCTGGCTGTACTTCTTTCATCACAGATCTGTTGGTTCTTTTGGCAGTCCATGGCACTTTCAATATTCTCCTCTAACACCATAACTCAATGCATCAATTCTTCTATGATTTTCCTTATTCACTGTCCACCTTTTGCATGCATATGAGGTTATTGAAAATACCATGTCTTGGGTCAGGTGCACCTTAGCCCTCAAGCTGATGTCTTTGCTCTTCAACACTTTGAAAACGTCTTGTGCAGCAGATTTGCCTAATGCAATATGTCATTTGATTTCTTAACTGGTGCTTACATGAGTGTTGACAGTTGATCCAAGAAGAATGGAGTCCTTGATAACTTCAACCTTTTCTCTGTTGATAAGAATGTTGTTTATTGGTTCAGTGGTGTTGTTTACATTTCTTA